TTCGGAAGCGACATGCGGAAAATCATGAACTGGAAAACAACGAAAATGGAAGTCGGGGCAAAACTTGTTGAACCAACATTGTACTTTCTTTTCCAAATTGGTTATTTCCAGAATCTTTGGTTGGGATAGTGGAACGCCCCTTGAACCATTGCTACTGTGGCAACTGTAAATACTTCCGGACATGATGGATTCAATCTCTGTAATTCTGGCTAGTGTCTTGGTAAGCCATGTTGTGGGATTTTTTGAAACTGAGGAAAACAGTTTGAATTTGGGAATGGTGCCCCTGGTGTGTCTAGTTTTCGTAGAAGCAAGGGAATCCAACATATCAGACGCAATTTGACAAGCAACCGACCATACCTGCTCAGCATCACCAGTTGAAGATGCTTGGATTAATTCGGGAACATACTTATCTAAAATTGGACGACATGAAGCCTCCCTGATGTCCCATTCGGAGTCATTTCTTGGTTTGGGGGGCAATTCCCATTGATCATGGGGGGTAACTACGTAATAAGGTTCATGTATCACTTCCGGCCGGATCGTCAGAAACACAGGGCGGTGTCCTTTGAAGGGGGACCCCTTAATAACCACACAATCACCCACCATGCTCATGGCCGAATAATTGCAAAGGAAATGGTCAATGCGTGTTTGTCCTGGTTTGACACCAAAATCTTTCCATCCCAAAGTTGAAAACGTAGCTTCACATTCCGATGACTTTGTGGAACTTACAAGGGCATATGCATCAAACCATAAATTGGCCAACATTCCGTGGATAATCGCCCGGTTCTCTTCGGGGAGTTCTTGGAAATCCCCCGCCCAAAAAACAGGGTGCGGTTCCAAAGTTGACAGAAAGGAAAGGATACCCTCAGCAACCCTCTCCCTTTCTTCTTTGCTTTGGCGGCCAGTAGGAAGGTAAGAATTGACTATGTAGATGCCTGAAGAGCATCTCTGGTTTGCCCCAGTGGTTGCGCAATTAACCCATAAAATGGTCGTTGATGCAGACACGTGGGACCACGGTTCTGGAATGTCAATTTTTTGACATTGGATATCGGACTTGATCAAAAAAGCTGTCCCACCATGCGTCTGACGGAAGCCATTCTTTTTGCCTATTGTAGGCTTGATTTCTGGCTGATGTCCAAAAACAATGTGCCATCCGTGTCGTGACAAATGCCCTGAAATGAAATCAGATTTGTCAGGGGGGATTCGGGTTTCCTGTAAAGCAACAACATGAACAGGTGACGGACAGAAATCAGAGATCCCGACGACAAAGGAAAGATTCTTAACTAGAGAAGTGATGTTGAGAGACACAAGACCAAGAGGACCCTCTCCAGGATACCCAAGGCAAGGATAGAAAAGTTGAGACAAAGAGAACTGCACTCCAAGGGCCCAAACATGAAAGCAGGAGTGGAACACTTCATCAATTGAGTGATGCAAAACTCTCGAATTAGGTTCATGCACGAGCCTGCCTGGTCCAGGGCTCGAATAATTCAACTGTCCTGACTGCAAATTTCCATAGCGCAAACTAAAATGTATGCTTGGACTGCTTGGACTCACTATGGTCGCGCAGAAAGCCACTACCCGTAGGCCACGGCAAATGGAAGCTCTGCCACGGTACATGCGAAGGTTAAGAGGATTTCTAGTTGTTTTGCCATGAGTGCGAAGAACTTTTGAAAGTTTGCAAGGCAGAAGGTGAACCAACCAAGACAATGAAATGCAAACCACTGGAGAAAAAGCCAAACAAAGCTTTACCATGGCCATCACTAGCTCCATTAATTGGAGTGGATCTACGACTTCGCAACCACCCGCCAGCACTTCAACAATTTTTCTGCCAAAAGAAGGCAACCACAAAAAGGAGAAATGAACAAGGCATATCCTCATGCTTATGAGCCGGCAAGTGCTTCCACATCCCACTGACATCAGCTGCCCTTGCCGGTCAGCTTCTGTACTTTAGGGGGCGGAGATGGGATCGCAGGAGAGCTACTCTCATTCTTCAACTCCATGATGGCGTTCATGAGCTGGCTAAATCCTCGATCTTGGCTCTTCGCAATGTCATCCAACCGGGCAGATGTGTTCTTCTGCTCTGTCTTAACTGTCTCCAACTCATTGGTGACACGCGCTAGCTGCTGCTCAAGGCTATCAACTCGGCTGGAAATGTTCGCCGCGATCGGTGTCATCAAGCTTCCTTGTACTGGTTGCGACTTGCTTGGCTGGAAGGATCTGGGCACAGCTGGAAAAGCTGGGCTAGCTGAGGAGGATCCTTGAGAACTCTGTGGCGTAGAGGCCTGCGCTGTGGAAGTACTTTGGGAAATTGCACGGGGCCTTCTCACTGCCTCATCGATGTGCAGCGTAGCCACTGATGTCAAGATCCTCGGTGAGGGCGGCGCCGAGTCAGAGGCAACGAAGGCCACAGCCAAGTCTGACATGTGCAAGACTCGCTGCACAATGACATTCCACTTGGCTTGGCGAAGGGCTTCGTGGACTTGGTCGATGTGGATTCCGGCTGGGAAACCTTGAGCTCGGAAATGTAACTTGCACTGCATGTGGATATTCTGCTCATTGAAGCGTGTGTCTCCAGGCATCCAGAATCTTCTTGCCTTGGCCAGGTGTTGTGGATGAACCCGTGCATACACTGAATGTTGGGAAGCAAAGACACCGAGGAAGCCTTCCAACTTGCCCTGAGAGGCCTGCTCAAAGACATCTTTAATCTTCAGGTCAGGCGCGGGAAGGCGGAGAATCTCTATTCCATCTTCTGCTGGGTCATAGGCAGTGCGCGCCGGACGAAATTGCACCGATGATCTACCAGACAATCGGTACAAATCATCCCGCGACTCTTCAGGAACTTGCAACTTCTTGGCCACATAGCCTGGTTTTTCCATGGTTTTGTGGAGCACCACCTGCTGGTCCTTTTCTAGTGACTTAATCACTTCCATCACATATGTATCAATGGCATGGCTGGATCCATAAGCGCGCCAGTCCTGTTCAGTGGCATCTGTTTGCCGGATTTCGCAAAACATAGTCATCTTTGGGTTTTGGTCGATCTGGATTTCCTGCTCACCCTCAGCTTTCTCAACGAAAAGGGAGGAATCAGAAGCCATATTGACGAGCGTACATGCCCTTGACTCATATGATGTTTGCAACGGATCTCGAACTGAGATAATGCACTCCACAATTCTTCCAGGCTCAAACGCCAGGGCTTGGACTTTCTTCCTAGCATATCCCTTCACAATCAAGACAAGGGCTCCGTGACTTCGCAGGGAGGCCAGTTCTTTGACTGTGGCGATGTTGGCAAAGGAGAAGCCTTCGGAGTTCTGATGGAGACGATCGCAGGAAATCACTTCAAGATGGGAGCAAGGCTCACCACTTGCCATCTGAAATTCCTCCAGCACAGCCAGTGACAAACCCGAGCGACCATTACGAGTTTCCCATGGGCTTCGATTGGAAGTTTGTCTCATCCCCCGAATGTTGGGGTGAAGTTGAAAGAATTGACGGCTTTGCAAACCAAAGAAATAAAGGGTAGTATGGGTGGATACCCCATGACAAAAAGACACTAAAATAAGCCACATAAGCCATGGTAGATGTTTGCTACAAACCACCCTTTGCATGTCCGCTCCGCCCCGTGAAGGCCTCTACCTAGGTGACCCTGAGGCCACGCCCCGGCCCCTTGCAGCCGGAACAGCTGAAGTATGAAACTACCTATGCAGCCTATGCAAGCTTTCCCCACATCTGTTCTTAAACAATCAATGACCATTTCAGGCACCTAAACTGGAGCTACTGTCCCATATAAAGCCATGATTTGGGGGTATATCCCCTGAAATTTATGTGGTAGGCATCTTCAATTTAGCTTCCTGGCCATTGAAACAACATATTTGCATCAACCTCTAAGCTTATAAGGCTGGACGACATCGGCTGCCACTCTCACTGGCCACGTTGTGGAAAGGGTGCCATTTTCGGCGGCTGCCGTGGGGCCGAGGTTTTTCATGGAATGATATGTCTGGCTAAATCATACTATTTCACTCATCTGAATCTTAAGGCCATTTGGGGATGATTTCCCTTACTAAACATGATCAAAGGTGAGGGAGAACAGTAAGGTCGTGATCAAATTTACCCATGTCAATGTGGCTTTTCTGTGAGCTTTCCCCTCGAATTCGAAGATTGGGATATGTCAGCAACTACCCAACCTGGTAAACGTTTACATGACGAACTGGAAAACCACCATGGGGAAATCCACCATAAATGGTGATTTTCCAGTTCATTATGTAAACGTCATTACCAGAGGGTAGATCTTAAGACCACTGTGGTGGACATGCCGGAAACGGGACACAGAAGGCGCAACCACCTTTTTCTTTTGTACGCTGCCATCGAACAGAGTGGTTTGTTTGATCAATGGACATCTGGTTGGTGGTTTCAACCTACCCCTCTGAAAAATGATGGAGTTCGTCAGTTGGGATTATGAAATTCCCAACTGAATGGAAAAATAAAATTCATGTTCCAAACCACCAACCAGTAATGACTATCAGTATATCATCGTGCCACACCCAAAAAGAATACTTATTATTGCTATTGTCAACATCCAGAAAACGAAAACATACACACACACACATACAAGTAGCAACAAAACCTTGATGTGCCAGGTGTCCAATTCTTCAATAACCATTTTGGGGTTGCTGAAATATCACCTTTGATACTAATCCCATAATATCATTCATGATCATTCATTCTCATCATTATATAAGTACCATGAAAAATCATGTCTTTTGATCAGTATTTATCCGCCCCCCTAGTACCATGGCACTAAAATACCGTCATGATCTTCCACTATACCTGGTTGGTGGTTTCAACCTACCCCTCTGAAAAATGATGGAGTTCGTCAGTTGGGATTCGGAAATTCCCAACTGAATGGAACAATAATCCATTCATGTTCCAAACAGCCAAGCAGCCATTCATATTCCATTACCAGAGGCTTAATCACCATTTAGTCACCATTCAACCACCATTTTTCATCACCATGTTTCATCACCATCAAATCAACGGTTCGACGTTTTCCCAACAGCAGCCACCGGCCCTTTTGGACGTGGCACCAACAGGGCCCTGTCTTTACAGGGCTCCATTTCTGCTCCAGATCTCAGTTCCCACAGCAGGTGGTCTGGTTATGCCGGTCCAGGCGTGGGGGGCCATGCTGATAGCCAGCACCTGAAGCGAGAGAAGTCACGTCAAAAAACTGTGGGAAGCTACTGAAACTGGTAAAATTGATGGTGAAAGATGCTTGGTGGTGACAAAAAACCATCTTGAAAAATGATGGAGTTCGTCAATGGGAAGGATTATCCCATACATTGTGGAAAAACATGTTTGAAACCACCAACCAGTTAAAGGCTATCCATAGAATTGGAAAACCCCAAGCAGTTGTTGTAGAGATTCTTCACTATGGAAACAAGCATGGCGCATTTCTGGAACTGGGCGATTTCTGCGATCTCGAAGCTGAAACCCACCAGCTTAAGGGCTATTTTCATGGGGGAAAATGGTCATAAACCAAACCATGGGCTTGAGGTTACCCTAATTTTTGACAAACTCATTCGAAACCACCTGATAGTGAGATGACATATTGGAGTCAGATCTTGGCAAGGAGAACTATATGGAGGTTTCCTTAAAAAGGGGTGTCCCAAAATGGGTGATTTATAATGGAAACTTCTATTAAAATGGATGATTTGGGGGTACCCTTATTTTAGGAAACACCCATATGATAAATATGGTTTGTCTGTTTCACATCAAGAATAACATGAAATTGTGGGCCTCTGATTATTACGAGATTTCGGCATGGGGTATAGCCCAATATATATATATATATATATAGATATATTGGCTTGGAATCCAGTCACTATATTGCTATAGCAATGTGGCCCCCCCAGTGACGTTTGTTAGTTTACAACCCCCATGAATACTATAGTTATAGGTATCATAAACCATAGTGAAATTGAAGTGATTAGTGGCCCCCAACTTAGCTATCTTAAATCAGCCATAAATATCCATCAATCCCATGAAATCCCCATCTGTTTGTGTTGGTTAAGTAAGCATTTTCCTATGGTTGGATCATTTAACCAACATGTTCCAAACACAAATGGGAAAATCAACATGTTGGATGACTATAGATTTGATATAATAGGAAAGTAAGCATTTTCCTATAATAAAAATTTCCTATAGTTTTCCATAGTTACTATAGTTGGATCATGTTGGATGACACCGTTTAGGGTCTGGAAAATGGGTGTTTTCCCTATCATATGGTATACTGGGTGGTGGTTTCAACCTACCCCTCTGAAAAATACGTTCGTCAGTTGGGAGTTGGGATTATATTATTCCCAACGGAATGGAAAGTCATAAAACATGTTCCAAACCACCAACCAGCCATTAATATTCCATTACCAGAGGCTTAATCACCATTCAATCACCATCAATACCCCTATTAAATCTCCAGTTTTCCGAGCGATTTTCCCCATCGGCTTGATGGTTGATCGATCCATCATCTCCGAAGATATCCCCGCAGGATGGGGACCCCAGTCGAGCGATAGCGTGAACCGTTGCCTGAAAAAAGTGGCAGAATTCTAAGGTTTATGGTAGATAGAACGAACTAGTATTCATGGGGGATATGTCATGGTTTATAAACCAACATTCACATCACTGGGTGGCCCCATCCTGCATTACATCTCCATTTTCAAATCGACGATTTTCTCATTCGCACGACATGTCGCCCACGCCCACGACCCACCTGAGGGTGGCATACCGACTTTGATGCCGCTGCTCTGAGCGAAGTGCGGAGAGCTTGGAGAGCTTGGGTGCTGGGATGTTGGGGGTCGGGGTTACGGAGTTCTTCTTGGGATAATCGAACCGGTGAAAACCAAGTGCAATGCACACATTGGGATGAATAATGAGTTGTATATGATCATTGGTGAATGAGTCATTCTTCTAGACTTAAACCGCACTTCTGGGTCAACAAATCTCCAAGTTCTGACAGAATTGTTGAAACTGCAGGAATGTCCCACTTCGATTGTATATATAGTAACCCCCCAAAAAGCGAGAAAAGCAAGTCATTTTTCTATCTTTTTGGCATTTACTGTAGTGAAAGACACACGGATTATGACATTCATTGATTCTCTGTGATGTTCGAAAAAGTTAGGATCAAGGGCCAGTGACTGGGCTAAAATGACTAGGACATATTGGAAGAACAACTCAGTCAGCAAGCATACTTCAAGAATCATCCCGCTTTGAAATTGTTTGGTGACCCTGGTGAATAGGTGATTCCAGAAACTTGGTTGATAAATATCAATAATCCTTAGAAATTCCACACTTCGAAGGTTATCTCACCGAGTTTTGCTATGGCAACTAGCGACGATCTGTATCGATCCGTGGAATGATCCTCTTCCCTCTGTGCCTCGCTGCTGAGGTCGTAGACGTTGTTCTGGATGTTTTCATAAATCTTCCGGGCCGTCTGGATAAAGGCCTCACACCACCGAAACAAGCGGGATGGGGATGCTACTTGGATGTACTTGGTGCTTCATCACTCCTCTGAAAAGTCAACACCAAGCCATGGCAAATTCGTTTCCAGATAGACCTTGGCTACTCGGCACCCCCGGTTCCGTGGGGTGAAGCAGTAAGCACCCCAGTTCTCGATGGCGAAAGGCATGGTGAAAGTCGGTGCCACATCTCGGGCATCTTCTGCACCGCTGCACGAGGTACGGCTCTGTTCAAAAAAAACCACTGGAAAAAGGACCACGATTTTTGTGGACGATCCAGCTGTCAAGTTATTTTTTTCCTGATTGAACATTGGGTGGTTTCATCCCAAGCAGAAGAGTTTCATGTTTTTAAAACCATTCCATTTTGCAAACCTGAAATGACTGCCCTCTTGTGATGATTTCTTGGGCCATTTTGGGAAGATGTTCCCCATAAAAGGACCGACTAGGCATCGCATCACTTTTTCCAGTGAAGTCCTGGTGATGTCGTGAGAAAGTTGGTTGCCTAATGGTGGAATAGAAGATGGCCCAAGCTTTAGATAAAACCCTCTGACAATTTAACCTAGCTATGGAAAACCACACTTTTGATAGGACAATCAAAGGCAAATCAGCTATAGATAGGCAATTTTTTCCAGAGCTATGCGAAATTACCAAAGGTATAACTGATGGGTGCTTTGAACCAAGTAATTACATGAGAGCAACAACTGTGATGTAACCAGCGCCGGGGATACTAACCTCCAATCATGCGCTGGGCGACTTCAAAGGATGTCTTCGTTGGTTCCCCAGAAGTCCAAAAAACAAACCGCTCTTTGGCAAATCCATCTGATCCCAGACTTTAAATCCAGAGTTTCTATGCTGCAGATGGCATTTCAGTTCTCCCAACTGCTTGGTGGTTGAGCCTACCCCTCTGAAAAATATGAGTTCGTCAGATTGGATCATCATCCCAACTGGGGAAAATAAAAGCCATGTTCCAAACCACCAACCAGCCAATTTGGTGTCACGAATATTTTTCCCACTTGGATCCAGTTGGTGTGGTTACCACTCTAAAATTCACCAGTATCCCAAGCTAGGACTAGGCGGCCAAGCAACCACAAACTTTGTCCAAATGAACATCCAAGTACTCTTAAGTCATCAAACATGCCAATTGGTAAATCCCCCAAAATGGTGATTTTAATGGGACAATGAATGAATAGGTCGTTTTCCATTGCCATGTTTGATTACCAGAGGGTATACCCATGGCAGTGAAGTTACACAGAAAAGAAACCACAACTTTACCTGAACTGGCTTGAGTTTCCAACACCCCCAATTTGTGTTCTTATCTCGTGCTTACCAGTCCCCTTTTCTGAACTTTCTTGAATTCCACATATATCTGGAATCGTGCCGTGCAACCATGGGGTACCCTGGATTATCGGTGATTTCACATGGATCATCTTTACATGGGGGGATTCTCCAGCACGCCATGTTTGATTTTCCACCCATTCAGTGTGCTTCCATGAATATCACAATTCTGTTGTTGGGTAAATTCCGCCATAAAATCCCATAAAATCCCATGAAACTGGAGGGTTAGCTTGCCATATATTGGGGTTTCAGCCCTTTCAAACCCAGCTCTCTCACTTCACCAGCGAAAAACCTCCTCGACGTTCTGCGCTGTCTTGGCAGAGGTCTCTCTGAAGATCAGACCTAATGGGCTTGAAAATATGGAGATCTCAGAAAGAATTGGAGAAATGTTCAAAACCCCGGTTGGTGGACAATTAAAGGGGGTTATACTGAGCAACAAAAATTGGTGATTCTCAGTCCATCCATTCCGATCATCAAGAAGATCTGGTTGGTGGAATTTTTCGGGACCGCCAGTCATCGGAAATCCAATCCCAGTCTCCCATACTACTCCCATAAGGAACCCAAAAGTTTGCCCATTGCAATGGCGTCAAAATGCTGAACACACCCAGTTCTTGATGGTTTAGATCCAGATGTTGGCTGGTATTCCCGTATTCCCATGTATTGTTGGCACATCCTCTATTTATGACGGGTTGAACCACTATCTGAAGCCACCAACTGGTCATGTTTACTACAGTTATAGCTATATCCCCATGTTTGATCGTTATTTGCATACACATACACGATGGGTATCACTGATACACCTCCGATTTCTGCTTCAATCATCATCATCATCACTTTAATCATAACTTTATGCGGTTCCACAAAAACTGACTGGCAAGCTACCCTCTGGTAAACTAACATAGCTATTGAAAATGACCCAGTCGAAATAGTGGATTTACCCATTAATAGCATGGTGATTTTCCATAGTTATGTAAACGTTTACCAGAGGCTATCTCACATTTTTCTGTGCAAGTCCCCTTCTGTTTTCGCTGGGTCAATCCCTGTCCCCGCAAAAAACGGTACTCATCGGAGGGTTCCCGGACCGTGGTCGCGAGCGAATTGCGCACCCTCCTCATAGGTCACCTGCCGGGAGGCTTCCACAACTGCTGGGTGCAGGAGCTGGTTGATGGTGATGACTTGGGGTAAACATTGCATTGGGTGAATCCCACATTTCTGGGATGGGATATTAGGGGATTAATAATAGGGGAGATATCCCCATGATATATCCTGAATAGGGAATTCATGGGATATTCATGGGGGATATGGTAGGATATATAATCAGCTATAATCAAGAGTTCCATGATACGCAATGATGTGCCCCAGCCACGTTAAGGATTCCCATTAAGGGATATGATATTAATGTCAAGAGGCTTAATTAAGGTTTAATGTTTACATTCATGGGGATATACGGGTGTACAATTTTCATCTCTTCCCCTGTTCATTTTTTCCATACCGACCCCAGAAACCATGAGTTTTTCTTGGGGATGAAACCACATAGGAACCGTAGACTGGGGTGGTCTCCCAGCTCCCTTTTTGCGCGCACTTTGGCGCAGAATCTGGCGCGCCACCGCATGGGAAGACCGAAGACCCTTGGCTACGTCTCTGAAGCTTGGAGTGGTTGTGTTCACTTTTTCAGTTGGAGATTTCATCCATTTTGCTGGGTTTTTAGAGCTTTAACATGAACTTTTTCATACATTTTCAGCACTTCAACTGGATGGTTTTCACGTGCCGTGCCCAGGGCCCAGGTCTTGCCATCTAGGCGTGTCGCCTTCGCTGCTCTGTGCAATCAAAAGTCGTAAAATCTTTGATGGTTTTTGTGGAAAATCCTTTGGGATTCCAAAAGAAAAAATGCTTCCATGGATCAATAGCTCCAGGGGTTGATGTTGAGACTTCCAGGATGTTCGAATGGTACATAGCCAGATTCCGAAGGCTTTCTACATGTTCCCTTTGTTGATTAGCTGGGACGAGTAGCGTCCCTCGCGGGATGTGTTCATCTCACAACGGCGTTCCTGGTGCGGTGCAGCATCAACCCACTGACGAGTTGGTGGTCACAAAGTAACGAAGGCGCCAGCTTTTCACCCTGTAAAACGTGCCAAGTTTATTTTGGCTTTACCATCTCATTTGCAGTTTTTTTTTTTTAACTGTGCATGTTTACAGAGCAAATACCAGCATTTCATATCCAAGCAACAATCATTTATCACTTTATATCACTATGTTTGGGATGAAAACCATCGATCAAATCCGTGCAAATGATGGTTTACACCAGCCCATATTTGATGATTGAACCACCATGAATATTCCAAGTAGTCCATGATTATCCGATCATGATCCCATTCTCATCCCATTCTCATCCCATTCATAGATGATTAATTAGCTCCCATTCGATCCCCATATTGGATGATTATGCCATATTTTGCCACTAAATGACTATTCTACTTTTATCTTATTATCATCCCATTTATAGATGATTAGTTTCCGTTCAATTCCATTCTCATCCCATTAAATCCCATTAAATTCGACCAGAGGATGTGGCGATTTTTTCGGGTCCCAAGTTTCAAGTGATCAAAGGCATCTTTCACCCGCTGAAACAGCCGCTTGGCTTCATCTTGACCTTCATGGAGGATAAGGAAGGGGCCGCCCTAGTGATGTTTGTTGGTTGATAAGCCAATATAAACAGCATGTAATATATATACACATTTCTGATATAACACACACATGTATATATATATAAAATATATATACACCATATATATATTATATATATAATATATATATATACACACCATATTATATATATACACATAAATCAATGTTAGTAATACATTATAGATATTAGAATCTTCCAAAGCACGCTAAATTAACGTACGTGGTGCCGAAGACTATTAATTCGATAAAAACTATTGATTGCGATTGATTCAAAATCTAGTCTGCAGGTTGTAAACCCAATTTTCAAGCGATTATTTTTGGCTCCCGGTTTCCAAGGAAATTAATGCTCGTTCTACGGTTCGTCTACGTTTTTTTTCCGACCACTATCAACCCCTGATCAAAAAAATAATAGTCGTTAAGTACAAATTAATGTCCTTACCTGGAGGAACTAAATTTGACGTAGAAAGAAGAACAAGGGATATCTAGCACAGACCATATACTGTAAAGTAACTTCATGACAGGAATCGTAAGTGGCTATTAACCCATACAGTTTAAAAAAGGCGGTATGAGCCCATATATCTACTAGTGCCAAACTAGAATGCACATCCACGTAGGGACGGAAAACAAATCACCAACTGGTTGCCCAAAGTAGCGGGTATTAGTTTCACTTCAGGTGGCACCTGGCAATTACTCTATATCCATTTCTGTGTTTCTTGAGGATTTCAAACAAGAAAGTGTCAACGTTTTTTGGTGAGTCTTTGAACTACCAACATTGAACGCAACCCCTTTGCCCAGATTTTGAAAACTCGAGGACAACCGGGGGCATTGTTTGGTGATTTCATGCCAGAACAAAATGGCGCCATTGGAAAATCCGGAAACATCATTGTTTTTTGTTCCAGGTGTAAACCAACAAGTTTCCCTGCAATTGCTTGCCAAATTCCCACATGTGACAAGCAAATAACGTAATGTGACAATCCCAATGATAAACCTATCATTTGGGGATTGTCTTTATCAATCATCGATGGCGATATTTGGGATTGTTTTTTGTTGAATTTTTCACATTCGTCATTTTCTTGTAATGTGACAGCTTCGAGTTCCAACCGTTAGTTTTCAAGGGGTACGTCCCCAAACACAGAACGAAACGGGCCAGTCTAGTCGGTGAAAAAATGTCATACAACTACCAACTTGTGTTGCCAGAATTCCGCATGAAGCAGTCACTTGTTAGCGCAAACCAAAACATCGTAACCGCCGCCCCGGCCCATGTTGGATACGAAAAAAACGGATTCCATTCTTATACTACCCTCCGGTAAACTAACATAGCTATTAAAAAGTGCCAATTGTGGTTGATTTATCCATTCAAAATGGTAATTTTCCATCGTTATGTTAGTTTACCAGAGGGTATTTCCATTTTACAGCCAAAAGAAACAGACCAGATTCCCCAGATAAAACCAGTCACCAACCAACGACGAATAAACAACTTGCCGCGCCAAGGGACGGTCGTGATTTTGCTGGCGGTCCTTGGTTCGCGTCATTGGTGGTTGCTTTTAAATTGCTACCATGATTGCTATTGTTGGTAAGTTTACCAGTAGTACTGCACAAGGCGGTGGCGGAAGCTTCAAAAATAGGAAACCTATAGGAGAGGTTGGTTGTTGTGAATCACGGATGGCAGAGCGAACCCACTGATGGACCGACAGGTGGTTCGAGTTGTGTTTTTTGGAATGGTTGCAATGGTTGCAGTGGTCACCCAACCACAACTGCTGGATGTAGTGTGGTGTAGTGCAGTTGTAGTTGTAGTTGCAGTTGTAGCTGCAGTTGTAGTGTAGTGGAGCTGTAGCTGTAATGTAGTGTAATTAGTGTTTTTGCAAGCGCAGTTGCAGTTGTAGTCGTGGTGTGGTGTAATTAGCGTAGTGTAATGCAGCGTAATCTTGTGTAGTGTTGTGTAGTGTAGTGTGGTATAGTGTAGTGTAGTCTAGTGTAAGGTAGTGTTGTTGTAGTTGTAGTGTGGTGCAGTGTACTTAGTGTAGTGTAGTTGTAGTTGTAGTTGTAGTTGTAGTTGTAGTTGTAGTTGTAGTTGTAGTTGTAGTTGTAGTGTAGTGCAGTGAAATTAGTGTAGTGTAGTGTAATGTAGTGTAGTGTAGTAAGTGTAGTGTAGTGTAGTGTAGTGTAACGTAACGTAACGTAATGTAATGTAATGTAATGTAGTGGTAGCTGTACTTGTAGCTGCTGTTGCAGCTGCAGTTGTAGTTGTAATGTAATGCAATGTAATCAGTGTAGTGTAGTGTTGTGCAATCTAGTGTGGTTGTAGTTGTTGTTGTGTTTGTAGCTGTAGCGTGCTGCAGTGTAATTAGTGTAGTGTAGTGCAGTTGTATTGTAGTTGTAGTTGAGGTAGTAGTTCTTGTTGTAGTTGTTAGTGTAATTGGTGTAGTGTAGTGTAATTAGATGTAGTTAGCGTAGTGTAGTGTAATTAGTGCAGTGCAATGTGGCGTAGCATATTTGTATTTGCAGTTGTAGCAGTAGTGTAGTGTAGTGTAGTGGTAGTTGTAGCTGTTGTAGTTGTAATTGTTTATCTTTCTATCTATCTACCTATCTATCTATCCATCTATCCATCTATCCATCTATCTATCTATCTATCTATCTGCAAGCTTGAAAACGAAACTCTTCTGCGAGACTTCTTCATTTTTCCAAATTGACAACATCAAAAATGAAGCAATTCTGCGAGACTTCCTCAATGTTTGAACTTGACAACGTCAAAAACGAAGCAATTCTGCGAGACTTCTTCATTTTTCAAATTTGACAACATCAAAAACGAAGCAATTCTGCGAGACTTCCTTCAAAAATGGAAAGTTGCCTGCAGCGCTGACGGCCTCTTACCAATGCGTTTTGCAATTTTTCCACTCCATTTGTCTAAACTAGCGCGCCTGCCACGAAAAAGTGATGCCAGGTCATACGAAGGCTGCACCTGTCACGCAAAATCATCTCAGCAAACCTGAAGATCTGAGGCTCCAAAATGCAACCCCTCTCAAGAAATCAGCGCCCGGACCTCCTAACATCTCTTATGAACATGTCTCTTGTACTGCGCCTGAGACGGAAAATGCATCTTTGCAGATCCTCTTCAAATGTCCCACGCCTGCCATCGTTTTTGGAAATGCTACAAACCCTCACGTTTTGCTTACTTTTGACCAGGTGCACAATCCCTTGCGCCTGCCACGCGAAACGACATCTGAACGTCCAAAAGTGGTCCGAACCCCTGGTGTTTTTAACATTTTGACTTCGAAAGGTGCTTCGGGCCACAACAGCGTGCACTTTTTCGACATCTCAACTTCCAAAAGTGGTCCGACGCTGGTGTGTTTTGTACATTTTGACTTCGAAATGTGCTTCGCGCCACAACGGCGTGCACTTTTTCGACATCGCAACTTCCAAAAGTGGTCCATACCTGG